TCGTAGGGAATCTCATCCACACTACCCTCATCTAAAGTCAGGACAAGGCTATCCTTGGTCTTTACCTGCCCTGAGATAGTGCGGCCTTTCCATTGCTTTCCCTTGTCCAAATCCTTATGCCAAAAGGTGGACAGGGACACTGACTTCGCTTCAAAAGCCACCACCTCACGACTAAGGGAATCGTAAGTGGTGGCAGGGTCTTCGCTCTTCGCGAAGAACTGCTCTCGAAAGGCTTCGGGCATAGCCCGATAAAAGAGGTTAACCAATTGGCCCTCTGTGACCCCATGGTCAGGGACGACCACCAACTCATCCATTGTACCCTTGAGTGCCCTGACACTCTTCCATTTACGAGAATGGATGGTTTGGAGCTTGTCTGAGGCCTTGACACTGTGAGCGACATCAGCAAATCGCTCGAGCAGCAACTTCAGGAATTCGGTGAGGGACGTAAATGAGGAGTACGCAACTGGATCGTCACTACAGTTGGCAGCACGAACAAGGGATCTCGCGAAACTAGCGGCCTCGTCTCTAAGTGCATGGATTGCAATTAAGACCTGCTGATCCGGGGAGACCTGTTGCAAATGCACATAGGTCTTAACATTGGCCTCCCAATTGTCAAAGTTCTCTTCCCTTTTCCCACTATAAGAATTAGGGAATTTGACTTTGACTGGCTCCCTGCAAGGACGGGCGTCCTCCTCCTTGGGAGCGGCCACCTTGACGCCTTCGATGGCGCCGACACAAAAACGCTTAGTCTTCTCGAGGCGATGACTCACCTCGGATCCCACAACGCCTACTAGTTTGCGAGCAAAATCCCGTAAGCCCGTTCGCATCGAGCGTACAAATATCTCCTGGCTGCGACTAAACTCAAAGTGCCTTTCTTGCACTTTAGCTAACCGCTCAACGCTTTGGGCGATGATCTCCACTTGCGGAATCAATTGTGTTGTTATGGCAACCCTCACCTCCTCCAGTTCCTGCATTGCCGCATTCGCCTCCTCCACTCTTCTCTTCTTCTCCCTCATCACTGCGAGCTTCCACGCCATCCTTTGTTCATCCTCCATCGCCCGCCGCGTCAGACCATCTTCTTCTGCTTCCCATTTCTTCATGGCGGCTTCTTGCTCATCCTTGGGGATGTACATAGCAACCTCTTCAACCTCACCCAGGGATAAGTTGGCGACCCACTCCGAAATCTTCTTCTCCATCTCATCACTGCTGCGGTCGCTGTGCTGCCCACTCCTTTGCAGTGGTGGTCCCTCCTCCTCTTCATCCACCTCCTTCAGCTTCTCCTCTTCTTCCTTTATCAGCCTCTCCTT